TTTTTTTTTTTTTTTTTTCAGGTCTGATTTCCACTATTGCTTAAATAGTGCTTTACTGCGAAGGATCGTTCTTATATACATAGTGTATATTGCTGTATATTTCTACACTTTAGACACATGTCCCTTGTACAAAGTGTATATTCGGTATAAAGTGTATGTAGTGTCTATTAGTGTATAAGGACGACGAAGGAAGGGGACGACAACCGAGCGTGTAAAATTCAAAAGGCCTGGTAAGGACTGAAGTTAGCTCGCAAGACTCTTGATAATGAAAGTAACTTCATTACATCAACATGATCGATCAGGAAAGAATTGCAGCTCTCCACTGACAATGGATTCCAAATCACATTAAATTTTTCCGCATCATAGATCGCATTCATTCATATTAGATAATCAATAATCAATCTGCGTGAGGGTATTCTTGAGGTTAGCCGTTAGTCATAAAACGGCCAAAAATTTAGCTTTCAAGCGTAAAAATTGATGGATTTTGGCCGTTAGTCGTAAAAAATTTAACTGAAGAAATTTTCCTTTTAATCACAGAGGAAGGAAGATAACCGTTCGCCGTAAAATGGCCAAAATTTTCACCGTCAGGTTGAACGTAAAAGGCATCACCATGGTATGATCTGAATCAAAAGGAAATGGTGAGAAATCGACAGATCAGGGCCGACGACGATGATGTGCCCTTCTTTGTTTACTTGCTTGCATGTTTTTTAAATAAATGTTCGTGTAATGTGTACCTTGAAATCTGTCCTTGTGTCCACATGCGTAGTGAAATGCACGGATGTTTTTAGGCTTTGTTCCCTTTGAGTCTTAAAGAAGTTAGGACAGTCAGAAAAGTTCTGAGCCTGCACACAGTTTGCAGTCATATGTATTTAGTGACAGGCCTCCTCGGCTGGCAGCCCTCTGCTTCTCAACGGTTTGTCACTCCAAGGGGACGATAGGCTCATAATGGTCACTATTATTTCGTTTTTGCGATAAGTACTAGTTGAAATTTATTGATTTGATGGGCTCTGCGACATTTATTCTCGTTGCAAAGAAATATCATGCTAAAGGTTTCCAAATGAACTATTTTTCGTCAGACTTCGGAAAGAGAGGTGATATATTCTCTCCTTTACTCTTATTTCATTCAGATGTTTTATTTTCCATATAGAAAGGAATAACAATGATAACAAATAATCTCAAGTGTGTGCATTACTAGTCTTCATAGTTTTCCACATTGTTTTTACCTTAAAGATTAGATTTCATGTATATTTTATGTTTTCTCATTTTTAAGTAGAGTCTTAAAACGTTCATAACTGTAATACACACAAAAATAATAATCCCAGAGCTGAAGTTCAAACAACGGTTAGAACCGTTGAATAAAGTTCCTTTTAGTACAAGGACGTATAATACCTATTGGTATATGGTAAACTATTAAAAAGATGTTAAGTAATGTCTCAAATTAAAATTGTTCACAAGTTTCGGGAATCAGCTGAATGTAACGTATCTTAGACAGTTTTACATATACAGCTAAAAAATCGCTTCAATTTATGGGCTGATTAATTTAAAATCAGTTTCAGATTCAATAAAGCGAGGCTCCTCTTAAATAGTCATATAGGATATTTCTAAGAGCTTGACTACAATCTTCTGTAAATTATATAAATGCAAGAGTTTACAAAGCCGGTTGACCAAGCCAGTCAATTGGGCAGAAGTTGTGGAATGGAGGAAACTAATTGTCGGCATGGGAAACCAAACTTTATTCCTTGAATGCAAAAGGTTGAGGCGAAGAGTGTGACTGAGCAGCTTGATTAATCAGTAGAAGAGCAGCTGAGAAGATTCTTAAGACCTTGGCGAAAATTGCCGCTAAAGATAAAACAGATGCAAGGGTTTACAGTGCAGTATGAGTAGGCCAGAAAGAAGCTAATAAGGTGGATGTATTGGAAACCGCAAGATGATATCATTTTTCTGTCGGATGAAAAGAAGTATAAGGCGATGATGATACTGAGTGGCAGCCAGCATACAGCAAAACCTAACACGATGGCAGCGGAAAACTTCAGAACATTTCTCTCTCTCTCCTTAAACACTGTACTCTTACGGCAGCTGATTGCTCGCCTGGAACCTTCTGCGATTTGGTTTTTAAGGCAATAGCAAAATAAAGTATAATAATCACAACCAAAGGGACATAGCAGAAAACAACGATCAATTCCATCACTGAGATGTAGGTTTGTAGCGATATGGACTCTCCAAATGCCTCTTTCCACTGCCACTGACAAAACAGCCCTTTTGAGTACTCGACAACTCTGAAGGCAATCAAGTATGGGCAATGGACAGCCATGGCGAAGATCCAAATAACGAGAATAAAGAATCGGCACCGTTTTGAACTGATCAGTGGGTAACAGTGGGGAAATACCACGGCTACAAATCGATTCACTGCTATCAGCAGCAAGCTCTGAATGGACACAGCAGTGGAGACATCTGTAGCAAAGTGACTGAGCTTACACAAGGCTTGCCCAAGGTGACCGCTGATCAGCCAGTAGTTGTCCATGTTTAATTCTACTAACGTTCGCGTAAACATGAAAATAGGATGCAATAGTTCGGAGATGGCCATGTTTACAATCAAAATGTTTATTGGTGTTCGCAGAGCTTTCGTCCTATACACAATAATTCCAATAAAGGTATTTGCAGCCAGCGACACAACAAATAGCAGAGAGTAGGCGAAGCTTTCACTAATTCGTCTCGCTATGGGGTTGAAGCAGCTCGACATAGAGTGTGTTCTATTCATCGTTGCAGTCACGTTTGACGACATTTTTCGCTACCGAAAGATCACTTTTTTCTTCAGCCAGCAGCTCTTGCGGTGGCTCCCTACATTCTACTGAAGGTAAACACAGCTTATCAATTTCTTACATATCAAACATGTTTGATAAGCTGCCCAAAAATTCGAGAAAGTCGGCAGTCTACACTCGAAAATCCTTTAACTGAGAAAAGAAGAGTTGGGAGCGGGAGCTTTAACTCGAGCTAACACAATCGATAAACGTTTCTAAATATAGAATATGATCGGCAAATAGAACAATTTTCGAAAGATCTGCCATAATTGTCGTCAGTATTATTATTATTAAAGAAATGACAAGAAATTAAACGAGTCTAGTAATAGCCCAGCAACAGATGTCTCCTGATATTAAATAACATTTGACAACTGCACGTACGAATGATCAAACAATAAAGCTAACAAAAATATAACGCAGCCCCAAACAGTTTCTTTCGAAACTATCAGCCTTTTAACAAAAATATAATCCGAGCTTCATCGACATTGTTAATATTGCAATTCAAAATTATTTTTCGATTAGATGGTCATCATCAATAGATTATTCCAGCCTGGGGCTTATTCAGAAGCCTCTCGTTACTCAGTAAATGGGTTGGAGAAAATTTTATGGACTTTCACGAAGTTTTAGTAAGTAGGAAAGGCTCAAGACAATGAAAGACCGATATATTTATGTACTAGGCGAATGATATGCTTTTATTGGTCACTAGAAAAACTTGTTTTGCACTGAAAAGAATGACTAGGCTTACGAAGTCGAAAGGAACGAGCTAGATAAAGGAATTATTTCTTAGGAACGAAAACAGTCTACTTATTTGCACGTGATCACCAGAAAGTGATTGACAGTGCCTTCCTTATCAAGCTTTCCAATCAGTCAATAACTTAACAACTTTAAGATCTTTTCAAACGCAGTTTACATAATATCCTCGAAAACTGTATGTTTATTGTATGTAATCGAAAAAAATTCTTCGTCGTGTCATGCTTGTACTGTAAATTAATGTAAATGGAGCTATCTTTAAAAAATTTCTACGTTACTATAGATTTCGCTCTTCAGACAAATTTCAAACCCTAATAAGAAAGTTTGCTTTATTTATTGTTTAAATTTTGTGTTCCCTTAACCAAAAGCTATGACCATACTTAAATACGGGATGTGACATAGTTGTTTACATTCCAACTGTTATTCTTAGTTCAAATTTGAAGAAGTTCTTCGGGTTAGTTCTCCTCTAAACTTAAAGCAGGCACCATCTTATTCATGTCTACCGAGAGGTACGCTCTGAACCTAATGACTCGATGAGGGGAAAGCGGTGATAGAAAAAACTTTACAAGCGATGTTTATATTGAATAACGTTTGACAGCTGGTATGAAAGATCACACATTAACGGCTGTCAGTAGAGAACCAAGTCATACTGCGTCCTGTTAACGTCCATATTGTCACTGAATATTGCTAGCTGAGTATTATTAAATATCTATTACAGTCCATTGCAGTTGTGTCTAAATGTTTCTTCGGGAGACGAGTTGAAGAATGTTAAAAAAAGTTGTAATAAAAAGGAAGAGCCCATCTTTCGGCCGGACGACAAAGAAAGGCCGATTTCTAATTTGCATGTTAGGGGGTAAGCTTTCCTTCGTCGTCGAGAGAACTTGCTTGTCACCGAACAGGATTCCATCCAGCATTCAACACTATGTTCAAGGAGAGAAAACAGCCGCACGTGATCAAATCGTGAAAATGATCGACAGAGAGTTCCTCTTCCAGCTTTTCATGTGGGCGACAAGTTAATCTATGAAACAAAGAAAACTAGAGATGAAGTAAAACGAAGACTTACAATTCAATTCCTAAGTCATAAGAGACCCTGCTGCAAAACAAAGTGAGGATGATCACCTTTTCATCACAAAGTTGTGCTAAACATTCTTCATGCACCAAACGAAATACGACCCACTTAGTTTTGGGTAAATGAGATTGTGGATTAAGGAAATATAATCTTCGATCAAAAAATATCTTGCCTCATTCACCA